GCCTGTTCGCTAACCTCAGACCATTGAAGTGTTTCTTTTGGGTCATTTCGTTTAAGGTTTTCTGCTCTTTTTATTATTTTTGATACTCTCCAAAAATTTATTTAAGGGCGCTAATATGTGTGCTGCTCTAGGAACGAAACGTCGATAGAAAATTAAATAGACCTAAGAAGCGTCTTAATTGAGTTATGGTATTAGGTTTAGGAAAGTTCAAAATACAGTCTACTCTATCTTTCAGTGGTTCAGTTCCTTCTTCGGATACTTTGACACCTAAGAAATTTATTGAGGAAACACCGAAAACACACTTAGAAGGTTTAAGGCTAAGGCCATAATTTTGCAATCTTTCAAAAAGAATTCTTAGATGCGAGATATGCTCTTCCTCAGATTTAGATGCTACCAATATATCGTCTACAAATGCATAAACAAATTTTAAATCTCGAGTAACTTCATCGATAAATCTTTGGAATGTGGCTGCAGCGTATTACATAAGGCCAAATTGCATGCGGCAGCTTTCAAATAAGCCAAAGGGAGTAATTATAGCACTTTGTGAATATCATCAGGATGTATAGGAATTTGATGATAAGCTTTAATTAAATCAATGTGTGAGAAAATTTTGCAGCCATGGAGTTCAGAAGTGAAATCTAATATATTAGGAATGTTATAATTACCTTTTATCGTTTGTGCATTAAGGGCTCTGTAGTCTCTTACAGGACACCATTCTGTGCTATCTTTTTTTAGGGACCATATGCAAAGGTGATGCATAGTTACTTTTTGAGGGACGAATGTGGCCTAATTCTATCATATTTTGTAATTCTTCTTTGGCAATTCGTAGGCAGTCTGGGGCAAGACGTCGTGCTTTAGCAGTGACAGGAGGTCCTATGGTTTGGATATGATGCACTACTGTGTGCTTAATTTCTTGGTCAGCACAGGGTGGTTTTGTGATTTCTGGAAATTCTGATAATAATTTATGGTACATACTGTTGCCAGATACTGTCTTTATTGAATGTATTGCACTAACCCGTAAACTGCATTTAGAGCCAATATTAGTGTTTTTGTGTTCAAGAAATTGAGTAATCATAGTGCTCTGGCATTGGATTGCATGAGGATACAATAGTAACATTTTTATTTTTGAAATATTCTGATTTGTTTGTGTTATTACACAATGACTTGATTTAAATTATTTTCACAAAGTTTGGAAGGTTTCTACGGTTTTGTTTATTCCAAAGTCAAGTGGGGGCCAAAACTATATGTTAATTAAAATTCTGTGCAAAAGTTTTAGATAAGTTTATTTCAAATACATTGTATGAATTAGAATGTAGAATGATTTTTATCATCAAAATAATATGGATTTACACCAGACCACTCTACAGAAAATGCTCTTTATGATCTTCTCCATATTATCAGCTCTCAAAAATCTGAATTCCATGTGGTTGTGGTCTCTTCAATGTCTCATGACCCTTTGATTCTATTAGATGGATATTTTTGCTCTTAACTCTTAGAGATTCTGGGATCTCCAAAAATATTTATAGAATCTTTCTCAGTTATTTTAATGAAAGACAAGTAATTTAGAGATTTAATATGGATATTTGTATTGAAAGAATGGTACAGAGAGGATGCCCATGAGGTTCCAGCAGTGCTTTGCTGCTCTGAAACACTAGAATGTTATGTTATGCTGATGCCATTTTATATGTCATTCATGAAAATTCTTTCAAAAGATTAGAGAAATTATTTTCAGCTGCTGTAAAGATCTAGGATTACGGTCCGAAAGAAAAAATCTGTTTTACCCAAAAGGTGGGAAGAAACTAGACCAGCAACAACTAATATGTGAAGGTGTTAGAATTAATCGTGTTGAAAACCTTAAATACCTTACAGTTTTCTTCAATTGTGAATTGAATTTTGAGCACCATTTCAATTACGTTTATAAAAGAATAATTTCCATTCTGACATACTGAAAAGAAATTTCTCATTTGAGTCATTAGTATTGAAAAGTAACATTATTAGATAAATTTATAAAACAGTTATTATTCTCATTACAGTATATGATGTTGGAGATTGGGGGTTCCAGAGTTGCAGGCCTGCAGGAAATCAGAAATAAATTAGATACATTACAATGACCCTGTCTGCTACTTTTGACCAGATGTTTTAAAAGTCTCGACAGAAGTTGCTTGCATATTGGCCAGTATGGCACCCCTTTCAATATTTTGTTGCTTTTATTACGATAAATTTAAATTATGATAGCAAAATATTGATTTTTATTACTTACAAAGATTTTACTGCATATTACATGTTTTTCTTCTGTTTTTAATGTTATCCTTATACATCCTGCATTAAGAAAAGCAGCGGAATATCAGAGACCAAATGTCTGCGTAGCTGAACTATGGTTCAGGTCATGACAATGGAATTGGTACAGCATATGTGGTTTATTTATACGGTACAGAACTAGATATGAAAAAATTAACCTCAATCTTACTACAGTCAAAAGTCTTTAATCCGGACTCGTCGGGACTTCGGCGATTCCGGATTATCGGTTTTTCCGGATTCTAGATCATCAGTTTAAATCTGGTAAGATGGCATGCACAAATTATAAAATTAAAAATACGAAACCATAATTTATGAAATAAAGAGCAATTATGATCTAAAGGGTATCAAAATTTACTAAAAAAAAGCTTAATATTTATTTGTTTACTTTCTTAAACATTTCTTTAAACGCGCGCATGCGTAAAGCATACATTACACATAGTCAAAATTAGAAAATTGCAAACAGAAAACTATTTGATGAGTATTCATGATATTTATAATGAAGAGGAAGTTGATTTAAATCATATTAAAGACGGAGCACATCGAGATGAAATACTACTATTAGTAAGGAATTATAAGCTGAATAAAATAAAAACATTTGCTCTGAAGATAAGGATAGTGCTGACAGATCAACTTCCAGTTCATTGCGCCGTGTTGTCCCCCCCCCCCGCCGCACAGCAGCGTTAAATTCATAAACATATTTTGGAATGGTTAGAGAATCAAAGGATTATGCCTTTATCCATTTTTTGAAGCAATTCCACTTTTTGTTTGATGGACATCGAACTATGCTTTCGCTTTGTAGATCCTTTGGTAGCTCCAGAATCGGAAATTCCTTTTGGCATAATTGAAAGTTCAAGCTTACTTTTATAAAATTGCTCTAACAGTCTACAAAAAATAATATGCCGGATCCAATAAGAAGATTAAGGAACAACGCAATCTGCAACATTAACTGAAATAGATAATTTTAGCTTAGCTTATACAGTCCGTTATACATTAAACGCACATGCGTAAATGTAATATGCACATGCATTAACGCAGTATGCGTTGGCGCATGCGCAGAAAGTTTGTGGCTTTGAGGTCCAGATTAAAGACTTTTTGACTGTAATAATGATCTGAAATAGTTATTTACTCTTATGCTTCCATTCAGTGATGTTTAGCCTTTTTTTATATAAATTATAATAAAAAAGTACTATATGAAATTAACTTTTCATCTAAATTAAAACATGAATCTTAGATAGTTATTTAATATTACTTCCTTTCTTGCTTAAGGGTCTGTTATACATTAAACATGCATGCGTAAATGTATTATGCGCATGCATTAAAGCATTATGCGTTGACGCATGCACAGAAAGTTTGTAGCTTTGAGGTCCGGATTATAGATCATTCCAGATTAAAGACTTTTGACTGTATTAGGTTTTTCAGGCCGAACTGGTTATGTATTTGCACATGGATTTATAAAACTCTGACTGTAAAAACACATATTAACATATATACAGACCCCTTTCTACTTTGGAAGCAGCAGCAGATGCTAATAATAATAATTTGGTCTCATATATAAAAAATGTCCTTGTAAAAGTTGAAAAAATTAATGAAGTGAAAATGAATTGAGTGAAAGCCCATATTGGTGTTATAGGTAACGATGGCTAGCATGCTGGCCAAAGAAAGATGCTATGGGTAATTCCAGGGATGCATTTGATATTCAAGCATCAGAATTGTTAACAGTAAAATCAAGGATTTTCAGAGAGGAGATAGAGAAAGCTTATCTTTCGAACTCTGAAGTTACTAAAAATATGAGAATGCTATGTGATATTCATTACAATCAGATAATTAGTGGGCACAGGCACTTGCAGGTATACCTGAAAAGATTTAATTTGCTAAGTAGTAATCTTTGTCATTTTTTTAATGCTGAAGACAATGCAGAATATTTCATTGAAGATTGCATGATTTTGCAAAATGTTAGGCAAAACCATGGCAACATAAAGGAATACTATTGCCACAAGAAGTAATTTAAATTTGCAAAGGAGATGAGTTGTATAAATGGTAATAAAATAGAAGTGGGAATTTTAGTTTGATGTTTTTAACTGCATATATTTTATTTATTGTTGTTAATCATTAGTTTTTTTTTTTTTCCTTTGCATATGTGTGTTTGTTGGGTGTCCTGCATTAACCATTAAAAGTTGATTAATACTGGCTAGGAGGGTTGCAGCTCACTCATATATTACATTACATTATCTACCATCATCAGAACACCTAGTTCAAATCACTACTCACATCATCTCAATATATCTTCACAGTGATATGTCAGTACAACAAGCCCGTCTATGTGAAGGTGGCAATACTACCTCTAAACTGACTCAGTTGATTGGACCATTGTTAAGTGACTATTCAAAATATTCTCTATTTCCTAACATAAATAATATTACACTTAACCCACACAAGGCTGTGCAATGTATCTTATGTTTGCTTTGAGCTGCAAGGTTCTTTTGCACTTTAAACCAACTATGTTCGCTTGCTATGTATTTTGTTATTTGCATATCTAACTAAGTAGTAGTTACATGTTAAGTTCCAAGATTGTAGAATAATTTAAACAGATGTGCACTTTCTTAATTTCAGATTTTTTTTACATTCCTCCATCAAAAAATAAAAAAATCCATAACACTCATTTATTCAAAGCATATAAAAATTCTAAAATTGGAAAAACTTACCACCAAATGTTGATTCACGTTAGCAGCTTTCTGCAATAACATAATGACAACAAAGGGATATGTCTGCCTTGAAGATGGAACATTTGTTTCAAATTGCGATTCATCAACATCCCATCTTGGCTTAAATTCAATCACTTTTTTATCCCCTGCAATTAATCTAAATGCTGTTAAGAAATATATCAACATCAGATTAATATGAATTATAAAAAAACTGCACACCATTTATGAACATGAATAAAATTTAAAGGATACAAAAGAGGGTCAGCTGAGCAGAGGCATTTGGTACTGAACTTTTCACACTGAACATGACTTATGATAGCTTTTTTTAGACTAGACCAGCTTTCATTCAACAGTATAAAGAGCTGATATATAGGAACTCCCCAAACAGCAAGCACATAGCAATCTTTTTCACAACTTAATGTACATTCTACACCTACAATAACGAACATCCAACAGTTATGCAAATATGTTTCAAGAATATGAGATATATCAAAATATATACCAATTTAAGTTTTAAAAATTTTCAACAATACAATGATTTCAGACTTATGCCCGCTCACAATAAAAGAAGCTTAAAAATATTTCGGCTGCATAAGCATTTCTTACACAAATCACCAAAATTTTTAGTTTGTGGGGTTATAAAATTTAGTCTCATGCAGGAAGGATATACTGTAGCAAGGAGCTATTTATAGTGATCAGATCAGTGTAGATTCACTATATTATCAGATAGTGAACCTACATTGCGAGCCATAACATAAAGCAATACTACTACTATTGCATAAAGGAATACTATTTTCGTAGAATTCTAAAATGATTTCTACCCATCTCTTGTATAATCATAAAATTTTAATGCATTTTTAACTTCGAAAGCATAATTAAATATATCAATTCCATTTCTTACCTTTTTAAAATAACTTGGTTTTCTAACAATCAGTTTGTATCAAAAAGTAGTTTTCTACTTCTAGGTATACCTAGCATTCATATTCTTCAAATGTGCTAAAACTTATGTTGTTTTTCATTGCTTTCAGCGAGATTACTGGTTTCATCTGACCATGAGATTTGTTTTTTTTTTATACATATTACCTTTCCTTCTTAATTTCTTTAATGTCCTAGTTATCATTTTAAACAAGAGAAAATTATGAAAACAAAGAATAAGAGGTTCAAGATACAAATCTAGCTAATAAATTCCCCCTTACTACCACTGTTTATGAGCAGATCTAAAAGGTTATGCTGCTTAATGTGTGAATATGTTTTCTACTAATTTCCATGATAAAACTATAAATTTAGGATGAACTATATTTTAAAAAATTACAAAAACATAAATAATTAGTATAATTCTTAATTGCTTATAACATATTCTTGTGTATATTTCTTTAAATTGTGAAGCATTTTTCAATACAATCAGTTAGTGAAATTTTATTATAAAATATAACATTTCTCAATTTCTTCCAAAGACTTATAAATACATGTGCAGTGTAAAAATATACACGGTATTTCTCAAAATTGAAAATTTGCAAGAGACAGTTCTAAATTTGTTTAAATACTTGAATTCTTTGATGAAGCTTGATTTTTAAGATAATTTCCTTAAATAAAGTTTGATAAATTTGTAACAGCAAGAATAAAATCATATTATCAAATTCATATAACTTGTATTTTTGTTTGATTATTAATATCCTTTCTGTGAGTTATGATGTTACTGAATGCAAATTAGAAATTTTAAAAAGAATTAATATTTTGTTTTAATACATTACAGCTATGCAACCGTCATTGGTATAGTGGGCAGTATTGCTGGCAGCCATATTGTTATACAGAGGTTTGAATTGCAGAGGGAGCTTGGATATTTGTAAATGCATACTACACTCACGTTTGTGAAAATTTCAACACCAAGAAGGAATCGTCATAATTGAATGCAATTTAATACACAGTTGAGTGGTAGTGGTACAAATAAATGATTAAATGTTCAAAGCAAACAAACAAGAACAAGAGATCAGAATCAGTATTTTGTGTGGCCACCACGCGCCGCAATAAGTGCTGCTACACGCATGGAGTCAAACAAAGTTTGAATGTCTGACTGAGGAAGAGCATTCCATATCGTTTGTACGCGTACCCAAAGTTCGTCTACAGACGCAACAGGACGAGGATCACGAGCAAGACGCCGACCAATGACATCCCACACATGTTCAATTGGCGACATATCCGGGGAACACGCAGGCCAAGGAAGAAGCTGTACCTGCTGCGCTGCAAAGAAGGATTTAACAATCCGAGCAGTATGAGGGCGGGAATTGTCCTGTTGAAATACAGCGCCTGGCAAGCTTTGAAGGAAGGGAACAGCTTCGGGCTGTAGAACTTCACGGATATACCGGTTGCTGTTCAGATTGCCCACAATTCGTAGCAATTGAGATCGTCTATGATATGCTATGGCGCCCCAGACCATAACTCCGGGTGTTCGTCCACTGTGGCGTTCGATAATGCACTCCGGAAGGTGGCGTTCACCGGCATAGCGTCTGACACGAATGCGGCCATCATGGTACCACAAATTAAAGCGGGATTCGTCAGAAAACACGACATGCTGCCAATCAGCACGCCAGTCTCTATGCTGATTGGCCCATTGTAGCGCCAGGCGGCGATGGTCGTGCGTTAGGGGGATCCTGTATAAAGGAGTCCGTGCGCGCAGTCCACACTGCAGCAGACGTCTACGAATTGATGAAGCACACAATGAAGCACCTGTAGCTATTGACCACAGTGCTGCCAATTGTCTAGAGGAAGCTGTACGGTCCGTCCGCGCCATGCGGACCAGGTGTCTATCATCGCGAGCTGACGTCACATTTCGGGGTCCACTCCCGGATTTCCGAGTTGTCCGACACTCGTCCGTCCACTGCTTCCAAACGCGCATCACTGTGCTGCTGTTACGCTGCACACGAGAGGCTACTGCACGATACCACAATCCAGCTTCACGAAGGCCGATGATTCTCCCTCGTTCAAACTCTGTAAGTTGTTCAAATCTCGCTCTCTTTCGTCGACGAGGCATAAGTACAGATTGAGTTAACGTTTACCACTAGCAGATAACCACCGATAACCATACATGCCTCGCTACAGCCGTCTATTTATTTGGATCCATCAGCCGTTCAGAGGGCGCTGCTCAGCATACGCATGCGCTACGGATTTGCAATTCTAATCATTTGCATATCATGCGCTACTTTGCATTTCCTGAAAATTTCAGCTCACTCGCGTAAGTCCTTCATGGTGTTGCAATTTTCACAAACGTGAGTGTATATGAAAGGCATGCAGGCACTTAAAATACGAGTAGTTCAAAAGTCCTCTTCAGAGGTTTGGTTGTAAGGAAAGAGAGGTGGAAGACCCTTGGATCAATCTTTCATGACGTTCTTCGTCAGAGCTAAGACAGACCTCCATTCTTGTGGTTATAAAATCAGTTGTCACCTATAATATAACTTGGGCACCATTCATGGCAATGAGGAGGATTAAATTACTAATGGGCACTAGTCATTCCCAATGAATGCACTAAGATGCAAGTGTCCAGCCATTTAAAACAACATTTTACAGCTACAGATTTGAAGTATAAATGACTTAGATATGAAAAGAAAGTAAAAGAAAATGAAGGTAATTTCTGCAAATTATGCATAAATAACATGTCAAAATCTTAGAATAAAAACTTAACAATATTTTGCATTTCACTGCAACTTTTTATAAGCTATTACTTAAAAATCTGTTACACAGTGCCATAGAAATATGTACATTTCCAATGGCTTGCAGACATGCTTCGATTTCATCAATATGACCACCATCTACAATACAGGTTTAATTTTCAGGTTGTGGAAAATGCTAGAAACACTCCTTTTTATTCCTTGGTCTTATATTAGCATGGCAATAAAAAATAAATCAATATATACTTCAATCACATCAGTATGGATGTGGACCAATACATTCCCCTGGGAGTGATCAGCAACTACCCGGACAAGGTAATTCTTGATCACTTAAAAATTACACAAATTACATGTGCTTCGATTTCATCAATATGACCACCATCTACAATACAGGTTTAATTTTCAGGTTGTGGAAAATGCTAGAAACACTCCTTTTTATTCCTTGGTCTTATATTAGCATGGCAATGAAAAATAAATCAATATATACTTCAATCACATCAGTATGGATGTGAACCAATACATTCCCCTGGGAGTGATCAACAACTACCCGGACAAGGTAATTCTTGATCACTTAAAAATTACACAAATTACATGTGCCTTTTACACTGAAATAAACAATCTCTTATAGGTACATCTAAGACTGATTACTCCGTGACAAAAGGGGAAACATTACCTTTGAAAGTTGTTATAATAAATTAATGTAGTAGGTATTTGCTTGGGAATTAACTTGCATGACTATTATTAGACCCTACAAATCCTATGTAAATTCATAAGATGTACACAGGGAATAAATTATTATATACTTTGCTTTATTGTACTTTATTTCTTCTAATTTTGACATCGGAGGTCAATTACAAACAAAATTATTTGACTTATGAATTTAGTAAATTTAAATTTTCTCCCCTTTCTAAATATAATCAGACTGAAACAACAATATTTTTCTTTTACTAGCCTTTCAAGAGTTTTTTCCCCTAACTTCCTCTTCTACACTGGCAAAACTCATTTCTTGTCATTTTTATTTAACTCAATATGAATGTCCTACAGTTTGGCAAATTTTGCATTTAAAGTTCTAAAATGCTCCTTATATTTTCGTTGAATGCTGTATATTGTAACTGCTAATTTGCTAGAATGTGCAGGATATTTCAAAACAGAAGTACAAGCTTTGCTTCCTTAAATAGTGATCTTGGACAAATATTTCTAATTATTAAGTTTCTCAAACTAAGATCAAGAATTTCATGAAAACTGCTCTAACACTGAAGTGAGAACGTTCGGTGCAGATAAACTCTTAACTTTTTGTGTTTCCTGTACAGCAAAAACTCAAAATTAGTGAACAGTGATTGGGCTTTTATAAATTTAATGTACTAAGAAAATCATAAAAAAGTGTTACAACTTTATTGATAACATACACAGAAATATCTGCAAATAAATTTATTGATTTATATCAGTCCAAAATGCTTAATGCCAAACAAATTTTTGAAGATTTTTCAGCCACATTTAGGGAGAAACGGCAAAACAAAATATGCTCATTTTTTCAATTAATAGCTCCATAATGGATAACAGCTCTTAATACCAAAGCTGTAGTTGGTCCTGCAACAAAATTTGGTCATTTCTGCAATTAATAGTTCTACACAGGATAAACAGCTCTCAGTACTATAACTGTAGTTGGTTAATGGCAAATATCACAACAAATGTTGCATGTAAAGGTATGGAACCTTTTATATTTAACTTTTTAAGCTTAATGACTATTTTGTACCTTTTTAGAGCTTTATGA